ATTATATATATATATATATATATATATATATATATAGATAAAATCTCTTTATATATTTTTACGTAACATACAAAAAAATATATGCATTTTAATTTTAGGTAAGCAATTATTTCTTAATTAAAAAAAGTTGTAATAAAAAATTACTATTAAATATACATTAAAAACAATCATATGTATTACCCACCGTTCAAATGTTTATGTGCCAATGCTGAAATAACATCCCTCCGTTTCTTGTAGAAGCATCTTAATCGCATGTAATGTTGCATCAAGCCATCGTAACCCCAGTTCTTCAAGAGCTTGTACATTATCACCTAAAGTCAAACCAGCCATTTCTTTTTCACTTTTTTCCGACGATAAACGGCCTTATGTTTACATTTCCGATAAGAACCGACACGCGCCACTGTGATTTATTGACGACGATTAACCGACATTTCATCATACCAGATAATAATATTTACAATTACCCCTTTTTTATTTCAATAATCACACTATTCTTTCATTCTTTTTAAGTGCAAGCGTTCGAAAATATATTCAACGTGTTTTTCTAATACATGCGTCGATACGTATTAATAAAAATTAATAATATTTATTGATTAAAAAAATATGAAATGAAGTTTTCCAAACTTATTGTATAATTTAAAAACAGTTTTTCAATGTAAATTACAATTTTATCATGTTTGTTCAAATTTTATTTTATAAACGCGTTACCAACAATAGGGAAATGAAAAAGATCACGAAAGGTCATAAGGGTTTCACAAAAGATAAGGAATACTTCTACCAACCTGCGATAAGGTAGGGGCATGGAGATGGCTGCTTTGCAAATGGAGCTCTACGCTGGCTATCAGCGGAGCCGCGGCGGTCATAAAACCTAATCTAATGCCACTACTGATCACTTTCGAGAATGAATCTAATCTAATCACTCGACCTTCCGTATCCAGTGATAAAAAGGATTTCGGCTCTTCCTAGAAAAAGGTATGATTCATTTTAAAAGACATGACATTTTTGTACTTTTTAAGAAGAAAAGTTTTTCAACTTCAAATTTTATATAGATATAATTTTATAAATATTTTTATATATATTTTATATAAATATACATAATTTTACATGATACATTGATTATATTATAAATTCAAATATAGATTGCGGTTTATCTCGAATGTTAATGAAGAATGTGAATCATAAAAGATATTCATGATATACGAGTTTGTTGATATTAATATGTACATATAAATTTTCATAATATCTCTGATAATTTGCCGTTTATGATTGTATCAAATTCTACAATACTTAATGTATATTGTAATTAACAGATTCTCTTCTTTATTTGTTTCTGCTATATATTGCTATTGCATTTTAAACAGTTTTAAAAGATATAAAATTTAATGCAATCGTACAGACTATCTAAAATTTAATTTATGTTTATATAAAATTATGCCGAAATTATGTCAAAGATACGTCATACAGTAGATACACTATTTAATTTGCATTGTAATTGCAAGCGTAATTTGTAGTTTATAAAATCCTGTTTCGCTTTACAATGTTTCATTTTTTAATAATTTTCGATATAATCATTTGTATAGTAATGTATGCTTATTTATATTTCTATTAATAAATTATTAAACTTGTTATTAAAATTGTTTATTTGTTAATAAACAATTATATTTATATGGTCAGCTTGATTTTTCTATAGAAACAAAAATGTTTACTTGTAAACATTACGCGTAAAAATAAATGATTATAGTTACCTTGCCAAAATGCATGAAGCAATAAGGATCGTCATCGAGAAGTAAGAAATTGTATTCGCAGGCTATCCTATAGATCTCTTTTCGTCTTTCCAGAGGTATAATGATGCCAGTAGGATTCGTGCCTGTAGCGTTTATATACATTACTTTCGGCATTTTTCCACCGGAAAGCTCCCGATTTCTCAGAATTTCCCGTAATATTTCCGGTACGGGACCGTCGTCATCTTCCGGAATCGTTATGAGCTCTGCTTTGTGTGGTGCTACCTGTAATCAAAATCCATCCATACCCATTTTATTGATATAATTTTAAAATTGTATAAGTATAAATTTAATAAGTAAATCCTTGAATCTCCATTTTAACATAATTCGAAAAGAAGTGAAGAGTTATTTTGGAGAAATGCGCTAGATTTAAATTGATCTTGATAAATATCGTCTTTAAATATGGTCAAATTTAATATCATTACGCGTTCATATTTGAGAAATCATAAGAAATGTAAGAAATATAAGATATAAGAAATATAAGAAATTTCTTTTTATTATGGATCTTTTTCATTTCTTTATTTTCTTTATCTTGATGACGAAAATAAAATCGGATAACAAAATTTTCTACAGAAGTCTTACTGCTATTATACAAATTATCATTTATTACATACGTTGTAACTAAATGGATTAAAATGACATGTACGGAGAAGGGAATTCTTCTCAAATTTCTTTCCCTAATGAAAGCATATTTATATTCACTAACCACAACTTCGACGCCAGGATAGAAGAGTTCAGGGACCAAAATCGGATCACCAGTGCCGATTATAGCCTCTAGAGCTTTACTAAGCCCGTCCTGAGACCCCGAAACGACAACTATGTCGCGGCTCTCCCATAAGGGAGGCGCGTGTGCCCTTCTTTGGAATTCCCTCAGGGCCTGAAACCAATTTGATGTCCGACATTGTTAGACACATTGTAGTCGATTCCCTTATCTCGGGAACGAAAAATTCCGGGTGTAACGACGTGGTCGATTACATGAGGCATTCACACAAGAAAAATGTACACGTGACGTAATCAAAACGGTGTTGTAAATTAATTTCTTCCTCTTAAAATTTTTTATACTATACTATTTTTCTCATTTAACTTGATTTTTGCCTATAATTACTACGTTTTTTATTTTTATTCTAATGATAAATTATACGGCAAAATTATTATTTGAGCGTAAAAATAAGCATTATAAAGTTGTTATTTTTGCTTGTTATTTTTTAATCAAAAAATTTTTAATTTTTATATAAAACAAATTTTTTGAAAAAAAATTCAAATAACATCTCAAAGAATATTTTCTACCTGCACGAGAGGAGGGTAACCTTGTGTAGGTATATATTGGAGAGCGGCGCCTAATTCGCTATCATCGAGAGTGAAAGACGAACCATCGTAAAGTTTAACTGAGATTTCCGTGAACGGAAACGTTTCTTCGTTAGGCATTCCTTCTGCTAAGGAAATAGTGTCTTTCGGCGCGGAATACGCTATTTTAGCTAAAACAAATAAAAAATTTTTAGTATTGATTATTTGACCGATTACAAGGGATATTTTCTTTAATATTTGTTCTATTAATCTTATATTTATAATTAATTTTACAATTTAATATAAAATTCTTTTTTTGGTGATTTTACATATTAATCTATCTATAGAAAAAATAAAAAATTTGACAATTAGCGTTAATTAGATAAAATTGTTCGCTAATTTATTTTTTGTTTATTATTAATATTACGTTACACTTAAGCTTTATGAAAAGAAAAAAAACTATTACTTACTTAGCTCTCTCGTTGTAGCAGGCCGCCTACGTTTGGCGACTTCCGTCATAAAATAAGAATAATCCATTTTTCTAAGGTGCACTTGTTCGTCAAGTTCGTGCAACCCTCGAATTAATTAATTATCACGCGCGAAAGTTTAATTTGCTATTTAGTTAAGTCAGCTAATTATTTTTCGACACACAATCACAATTGGCATAGTATTATTAACTGATAGATGCTAAGATAGATTGTTAGTGATATAGATACTAATTATAATCTGAAAAATCTGTTTTAACAAACGCACTCTGGCTGTAATTTTATTTTTTATATTAATGTCGTTTTCCCGAGAAACAAGTACACAGACCTAATATGTAACTCGTCAAGAAGACATTCTTCGAAAGTGAATGCTTCTGTTACCACCGTCACACTGACAACGTACTTGGTTATGCCTGCTTTTATATTTAGCGATAACACATTGATTGCGTCAGAAAACTATTTCTTATAGAAAAAATATGATATATATGTAGAAGGATATAATAGTTTCCCCGATTATATATAATAAATTCCGCCGACTTGTTGCGACTTCTAATCTTACTACTGATTAAAGATATTGGATATGTACATGTATAACGAATGCACTTGTTAATAGTAGTTACTTTCTATTTAGATTTACAAACATAAACAGTGAAATAAAGATATACGGGAATACCTAAATGATGGGAATACCCAAATCAATTCAGGAAATAGAGAAAGGTACTTGAAATTTTCCTTTATAATTCACAAAGAAAAGTGAAATAAGAAAATCCTTTTATTAACGATTCTATAAATGTTGCAAAATTCATCCTTGAGTGAAAACGTCCTTATCTTTAATACTTTATAATTAAGCTAATTTTATTTATCTCTTCATTTGCCGTGTAATATACACAAATTCTAAAGTCATACCACACTTTTTAATTTTTGCAATTTACTTATGCAATTTATTTCTGTAAATTTTAATAATTTAATAGACATTTAAATTTAATTACATGCAATTTATTACAAAATTAAAATTAATTAGAAAACTAGAAAAAATATTTCTAAATACATAAATTCTAAATACATAAAATAAATTATGTTTACTATTTGCATAAACTATGTTTACTATCTGCAAAGAAAAAAGGTGGTTTTAATAATCTTCTATATCAAAATTATAATTCAATGGATTATGTATACATGTATAGGAATAAATATACAATTAAAATTAGATAAAGAATGCCGATATTAATAGTGATAATAATTTTGTTAAATAAACTTATTCTAGTTTATATCTGCAAATATTTTATCGTAATGTTTAGAAATAATTTTGAAAATTATTTTTGAAAATATATATGTAAGAAAAAACAGAATAAAATTATTTTATAACATTAAATTATAATGTTTTATTTTTTAATATTTTTAAAACATAAATTTTTACGTTTAGTTACAAAAAATAATAATAAAATTGTCGTTCTTTTCTTTACTATTTCATTGATATTCAATTGTTTTAATTTTTCTTTATTTTTTATGACTTTTGAATATTCACGTTATTATATTATCAAAATCATTGATCCTTATAAAAAAACGAAGTAAAAAAAGTAAAGAAAATATTCGAATATTTCATATTTTTCTTAAAATTTTGTTGTCGCACTGTTCCGCTCTAATTCACTTTGTTTTCGTGATCTCTTCAGAATCTTCTACACACATGGATGGATAACAATATTCCAAACACAGATGTTATTTTATGTAAACAGACAATCAATTACATCTGAATACAACATATGTTTCTTTCTGCTATAATTGCTTTATCACTTTTTCACATCTAATCAGTATGCTAACAATCATCGATATTAGTTTCTCTGATCATATGGTCAATTTATTTTAAATGTTTAATTGATAAAAAATACAAAATTAATAAACAATCTTAAATAAGATTACTTAATAGAATTTTTTTTATATTTCGAAATTTTTTAAAAATTTGTAAATAATTAATAAATAATTAATATTAAAAATAATTAATATTAGAAACATTTTTATGTCATAAAAGTATCATAAAAATTAAATATATATATTTATATATTTACATATTTATATATTTATAAATATAAAACCTTGAAACGTGACACGTGAAACGTAGTACATATTTTCATTTTTGAAATAGATAAGATACGAATCATAGGATCATGGATCATAGGAAAAGGTAATCTAAAACATGAGGTATCGTAAGAAATTATGTGAGTAATTATCTTCGTTTCAGTATACCGATTAGTTTTTTTTTCCAACGATTACTCTTGTATCAATCATGATGTAATCAGATGAATAATTACATGAATGAATGATGAAATTGTATGTTGACAATCTTATATGTTTGTTATCAAGGGGAATCGCCCTCATATCGTACACAGAATTACGTCAAAGGATTATTTATCAGTAATAAGACCTTCAAAATCAATGTTTTATCTGTTTATTTTTGATCATTATCGACGTATTTCATTGCTTCAAAGATGAACAGAACGAAATTCGAGAATCAATTAATATCTCAAATAAAAAATGTATAAAACATCGATATATTTGATATAAAATTACATAAATATTTTACCTATCTATTATAACGTTCTTATTACTATTATTGTTATTATTATTGTTTTTGTTGTCATAGAAAGCTAAGTATAATTTTTCAAATATGAAAAAGGTCTTAAAAGTTCTAAAAGAAAGGTAAGAATTCCAACAATTCTATGACGTCATTTGATTACTTTGTGGTACCTTTAGAAAAATATAAATAGATAATGCAATTAAATAGATAATGTTGCATTTCTGAACAATTTTCTTGATATGCAAGACAATTACAACGTGAATTTTTACGTTATTTTATTTAATTGCATTGTTTTATCTCTCAGTAGAAGAACTCTCTCTCTCTCTC